CTCCAGTGGGGTGGGGATGAAGCTCCTCAAGTTCGGTGCCTGAGCATTTCCATTGACATGTGAGGGAGGTGACTGCCATGGCAGGCACTGTGCCTGGCTGATGGGTTTTGCAGGACCCTGGGGACAGGAAGTGACAAGGGGAGTGTATGTAATGAAAGTTTGGGTAGGAACTCCCACGCAGAACATCTTTCCTCCCGGGAAGACAACTGAAGGGGTGTTCTGAAAGACTGTCTGCCTCTCTTTGGCAGGAGCGTTTATTTCCTTTGTCTCAATTACCAGCTAACTTAAGATATATTTAACTCCTTAGCTAAAAAATGAGTAGCAATAAGGGAATCAAATAGACAGCTATTAAACCAACCTAAATGAAGGAGCCTTCTGGAGACAGGCTATCCATCTGTGGGATGTCACAGGCTGGGTTAAATTATGCAGCCCCACCACACCCCTTCATCAGAGATATCTCTGAGAGATAGCTAAGCAGATATTTAAACCCAAAACAAAAGCAAACACCTGAAGCTGTTCTAAATTCTGGGCAGAGTAGATGGGGAAAGGGTGGAGTTGCCTATGAATTTTCCAGGAGGATGAGAGTCCCTTCCCATGCCCTTGGCTGGTAATGGTTGCCCCTGTGGCATTAGCCTGGGGTTTTGCAAAGGAATGAGCTGCCAGGGGCAGGGGTCTCAAAGGAATTTCTGGTACAGACTTCCTAGGAAAGGCAACATGCAGGACGCTGAACCCTGCACCTCGAGTACAGGCAGCAGAAGGGGAGAGGAACAAGAAGGCAAGACATGGAAGCAGACCATATTGGATTCAGATCAGAAATTGTAACAACCTGTATAGCTGCAATGGCTCAGAGTGACCAAAAAATCAAGCTTCTCAGTCCATGAAGCCACCTGGGTCAAAACAGGGTGAGGACTCAGCAACTTCATCTTATTTTGAAGGAGATCAGAGTTGATAGCTACACCCCAGCCACCACTTTTGGATCCCTCAGCTGCACTGCCACTATATCACCTCTGCTTAATGCCCAGTACCTGAGGGTAGACCAGACATACTTGTCTCCTGGAATGTGGGTTACATTTCAGGTTTACATCCTGAAATGTAAGCAGGGAATGGGGCATGGAGGCATGCCAGCCTGGGCTGCCTCAGCACTACTTGCTGAATCCCATGAAACTGTCTCCACAGATGTCTAGGGGGTAAGGCCAGGCTGGGATCCTGAACCTGGCCTAGCATCATGCCAGCATCAGGAGATACCCAGGCAGAGAGCAGCAGGGCTCCTGGAGCCAAGTGAGGGGCAGCAAAATAGGCAGGAGGAGAGCTGGGGGCTGGAGCTGGACCCATGCATGTACCAAACATTGCCAGACAGAAGAAAAGCTGCCTCCAAGGATGCAGGCAATCCTTGGAGAGGAAGCCCGACACATCCTGAACCCTCACTGTGTCTTAGGCAAAGCCAAGTATTTTCTCATCAGTAAACACAACTGACAAAATCTAATGATACTTTGCACCTCCTACCGCCAACCACCTGCACAACATTCAAGGCTCTTGGCTATTTGGATCCAAAACACTGTTGGCAAAGCTAAGTTTGACCCAGCAATAACACTGATTTTGGTCACAGCTGTTTTTACTAAGGAACTCATTACAGCATAATAATTTTGAGTATGTAATATTGAACTATTAAAAGGGATTTTGTTTTGTGGTATTTAGAGTAGTTCTTAAATCAAGACCTAGTTTGTCTCTTGACAGTGTTATCACTGCAACTTTCTGATGTTCGGTCGATGAAAGGATGGAAGGATCATTACAGCTTCTTGCCAATATGAAGTACGACACAGTTAATTAAAGAAACATAAAGTTCACATGCAATGCTAAAGATCACCTCTGTGCCTCTGAATGCACACTGGCATTATATCAGTTGGGTAATGATGGGATAATTTAGCTCCCTATTTTAAGCTGAGGTTTATACAGTTCATTATAGGATGGAAATATCATCTTGTGATTTAGCTGAAGGTGATATCAGACTGTATGGTCTATAGGTCAGATTTCCAATAATATTTTGATTTGATGACTCTGAAGTATGAACTTGAATGGTCAGACTTCTGAGCCTTCTTAAGCTCAGGGTATTTAAAAAACTGGAGATGGCAGAGGACAGGCCCACAGCTTTGCTGCCCCTTTGCTGCTTTGTGCACATCCTCTAGCTGGCAAAACTCCAGGGAGGCATTTGCACAGGTCCTCAAGACAGCCTCATACAAGCAAGAACTGAGGAATATAAGACAGGAAGCCTTAGAATTGATGTGTCTCCTGCTCACTTCCCTGTTGCTGAGGGAAAACCATCAGGAAAACTGTGGCATTTAAATGAGCTAAGGCACTGTGTTAGTTAGCCCTGATAAACACACATCTACAGACAGGTGACTATATCCAGAGCATCAGTGGTTAAATACAACATGTTGTAAGAACCAACCAAACAAAAATATGTTCACTTTTCTTCAGTACAGCAAATGTGAAGTTCTCTTTGAATAATAAGACAACAAAGCACTTTAGATTTCATGTTTACCAGGTTGTATATAATAATAGCAGGAAAGACAGAAACCTGGGCAAGCCAGGCCATGACTGGCTGGTGTATGCTGCGTCAGAGCAAGAATCACTGAAAATGGGAGTGTTTCCAAAAAGGGAATGGGCTGCATCATTCATTCCTGACAGAGTTATGCAGCTGTTCTTAAGCCAGTCCTTGTCATGCCACAGGTCCCTGATAGTATCAGGAACTACATGGACATTTGTCAAAATAGGATGACATCTAAAGATAGCATTGAGCTTAAGGGAAAGGAATTTAAAAGAAAACAAATCACCATGGTTACCATGTAGGGTGACAAAAGTTCCCGGTGAGTGGAAACATGACTCGGGTGACCTTTGCTGAGACAGACTCCTGAGACAGCAGTAAGCTGTGCAGAGCCAGCAAGAGGAGAACAAGGGAGACTGAACAACAAGTGAAGATACTTCAATGTTCAAAGTGGTACAGTGCAGCTGCTGCAGGTCATATCTCCCTGCAGAGCCCAAGGGCTTGGCCCAGGGGGCTCAGTGATTTGTAGTTGAAGCAGTTGGAGCCTACATGCTGCTGTAACACTGGCAGCAAAGGTGAACATGCCAAAACTTCCAGAGCACAGCCAAGAACTACTACCAACCCACCCAAACACCCTGACTAAGCCACAGGCCAGACCTGTGATGCAGCAACACACTGAAACCAGCACTAGGTTACCTAGAGCCAAGCCAAATGCCATATGTTACAAAGCTTTGATTAATCAGCTCTGGCTACTCAAGCTTGTTTAAAATCCTTGGTGGGTGAACCTTGTACAAGTTGCTGGGTGCTGGATGAGGTGCTGACTGCTCGTGCTGCTCTGCCTCTGTGCTGCATCACATCCTCCCAGGAGTATGAAAAGACAGCATGAAGTCAGTGGCTAATCTGACAGCTAATCTGAGAGCGCGCCTGCTCTCGCCCAGCACCTGCAGAATTGCAGCATGGGTTTATAAAAGAGCTTAGGGCTTCCTGTGGCTTGATCTGAGAAGATGGCAAAGGCCAGAGCCTGCTTACCTGTGCATCTGGATGGTGACAAAGAAACCGGGGTAAATTGCAACCCCTCTATACCCCTCAAAGCAGCAGCCGGGGTAACCATCTCAACTTTTGTCAAATTCCATGCATTGGCCAGTCTCTGTGGAAGAGTGCTGAGCCTTTTGCTACAGCTGCACAGCAGCTTCTCACTCAGCCCCTGACAGGCAAAGCACATTATGGCAGGAGCATATCATGCCTTTCACAGTTGCTCTGCTTCCTCCTGCTGCCCCCCATACCACAGAGCGGTTCTGTGCCTTCTGTGGTGTTTTGGTAACCACGGGTCTAACCTGGAGGAGAGTTCCTGCTCCACTGCTTAGCCTGAGAAGAGATGAACATCTTGCCCTTTGAGCACCTCAGGTACCATTAGGCAAACAGCCAGTGCATAAAGGTTTCTGGCACAGGTGCAAGCTGGCAGTGCTATCGGCACTGAAGAAACATAAAATCCTGATTTGTCTACCAAGGCAATCCAAAAGAAATTCCTTGTCTTCTCTTCCCTGTCTCTTGCATGCCTCTATTTCAAACCTCACAAGTACTCAGGTACCCAGGTATTCACCTTCCTTCACCATGTGAAATGCTGAGACCCAAACCAGGATATTGATGTGGAAACTACTGGTAACATATGTTCCCAAAATTCTTCTGAGCAACAAGGCCAGGAAATTCCTGCTTTGATGACTTCAAAGAGAAAGTCTGCATGAATCCTCTAGCTCCTAAATTTTTTATCTGATATTTTTGGGTGGGGTGGCCTTCTCTCCCCTAGGCACTTTGTGGCAAGCTGTAGTAATACAGAATGGAGTTTCTGACAGTGTTTGAAATACTCAGGAAGGGACAAATTTCCATGAAAGCATTACTTCCCTACTGAGCTCAAAATAGTGTGACATAAGCAAACCATGATAAACTGATGAAAGTTTGTTCTGATGATGTAATCCCAACAGTGTTAGGCAACACTGAAGGTTGGCAATGTCATGAACACGCAGATTTTGCAATTTCCCCTCTTCTACATTACTCATGTGCTTTAAGGAAAATGCAGCTGAACTGGTCCTTTAATTTTAATTAAAGTCTCATCTTTGCCCAGTTACTACTAAGCAAGAGTATGTCCTGAAAGTTTTCCTATACTTGAATAACAGATGCAAGACCAGGATGAATATACAGCAGAGTGATAAAATTAATATATGGCTTAGCAAAATTTACAATTGTCCCTCATACTCCAGCCAGTAGTGGGTTTTCCTGTTATGTGAAAAAAGATAGTAGAGGTGCTTTAGCCCTCTAAAAGTACCTCTGTTAACACCAGTCAGTACTGTGCCTTCTCTGGTCTCCCACATCCTTTCCCCAAACACAAAACCAGCATTTCAGATACGTAGTCATTAACTCTATTTTTTAAAAATTAACAGTTCAAAGCATCTGCTAAAATTACCTTCAGCTTTCATTTCCCATTCGTCTGACATCATCCTTTCAGTATCTCTCCAGCCATCACAGAGTCCAGCCATAAGAGAAGACTGAACAAATGCAGAAGCAGGCAATTAATTTTCCCAGAATCTCTTCATCTGTTCCAAATAAATCAGACAGTAAAATTAAATGTGAAAGGACATTTTAGATTCACTACACACCTTCAAGACATGAGTTAAAACTGCAAATGGTTATACTGTGTAGCAGAACAAAATGCATGATTTGAGGTTACAAACAGATTTTATTGTTTACATTGGCCACTGTGTAACGTAAAGCAGCTGACTGTTTATTTCCCCGAACCAGTTACATCAATACATCATAAAGCACTGGGTATTTTGCAGTTGGGTTTCCTTTTTTTTTTTTAAGAACTGTGTTGCAATACAGTTTTTAGCATGGAAATTTATCAAAAGTATGTACAGTTGCTTGAGAGTTCAAAGGGGCAAGATAGGAATTCAGATTAACTGGAAATCTAAACAAATGTAAAGGAAAATGAGGATCAAATTCCAAAAACCTTCTACTCTACACTACAAGCCTAACAAATGGTCTTGATTTGTGTCAGTTGTTAAAGAAGTGTAAATTCCTTGATAAATTGATGTAGCTCCTGGGATGAATAAAATCAATAATGTAATAACACTGAGCTAATACTAAGTTGACATTGATTGAGAATGAGTACACAGAATTTGAGGTCTCCTTCCATGCACAAGGAGATATTAGTAAATCAGAACCAGATTGCAAATTAAACCTTGTTATTTTAGGGCAAATGAATAAAATAATGCTTGATGAATAGAGCAGGCTGAGGGTAAAGCTAGTCAGTTCAAAACTGAGCGTTCAGAAGTCTACGATTCCTGAATGGGAGCATATGAAGAAGTTAACAGAAGGCTAGCAGAAGCTGATGGTTTGTGTTACATTTTTTCATAGTTGTTTCTATATGGGCAAAGGCAGAGGAAGCCAAAGATCTTTACTCCAATGAATAGCATCCCAGTTCACAAATTAGTTTTTGCAAATTGTCTCCAATTTAGACGTATATTATTGTGTTCCCTTAGCATATGGTGAAACTGGTCAATGAATGAGGCCTTCTCCAGCTCCTAACAGACTTGTTCCCTTTGCCTGTCCAGCATCCCTGCTACTTAAATTCTACCCCGGTCATGGATGGAGAGTCAACACCAGTGAGCATTAGGCCTTTCCAGATAAAATGCAGAGATCAACTGAAGGCTCATGGGAGGAATATTTGATTACTAATATACTAATTTACAGTTCAAATCACAAGTAAGGTTCAGAGAATGATGGGTCATGAGAAAACAAACAGAACACCCAAAACAAAATTACCATATGCAACAGAATGAGAAAATGAAGCTTTGTTTCTTATGTCTTTTTCTCTGTCCCTCTATGCCTTTTCCTCTCAGACATCTGGTAAGACTTCTCTCTCAGGAGAAATGACATTTTAGTTATTAATTCTGCCAATTTAATGGAAATTTAATGTAACTTTGTTATCACCGAGGCTTTTATACTTCTATACTGGATTTGGGTATTAGGGTAGAAGAGGCATATGCACATATGAAGGGCACAAAATGTCATCTAGGTTTAAAAGAAAATATTCCTTTTATTATGATAAATGGAGTGCATTTGTTTTGAAGATGGGAAGAAGGGATGACTGCAGAGGCTCAGGGTGCTGCTGGGTCTCAGCAATTATCTCTTGGAGTAGATGTGGAGAGACTTCAGGAGCAGCATGACAGTGGGAGTGACTTGCCCACAGATATGCAGAAGGACATTACACAGCCAGACCTCAGGTTTTTCATTTCCACCCTCCACCCCAAAAAAAGGAAAACAGAAGTATATTGTCCTCTTATTGTGAGATTTATGTATCAGTGGGGTAAATCCTCTGATACAGTATTTAAACATCTGTTCAGACAGATCACAATCTCACCTTCTAAAGAAAATCTGTGCAATTCCTTTGTTCCTGGACGCTCCATAATGGCTGTGCTGGGATTGGTGCTGAAGACACCATCGGTGATAAATAATTACTTGAACAGTTAGCAGACTCCTCAGACTTTCTCCTGTGTGTTTACAGCCTTCCCAGATGTATTAGACCAGAGGATTTCACAGGATGACCACCTGAGCTTGCTTCCATTTCATCCACTGCAAGTTTGGTCACCAGCTTCAGCAGAAATGGGAGATGAATCCTGCATGCTCCCCAGGGTTTCTGTCAGATACCAGTGTCTTCTAAACCTCCACATATAACTAAAGAGACTGAGAAGTAATGAGGGAGGGAAGATGTCAGACAGGAATGCCCTTGAAATAAGCTCTTCTAACAATACTATATTAAGATAAGCACATCATCCTCAACTCTGTGTGAATGAACTGGGGCTATTTAGCAGCTCCATAACTCATTCAGCTTTTTTTTTCTTCAAGTAAAGCACCAAACCCATTCATTATAGTTGGCTTCAGGGCTCTTGGGAATCACCCTCAAAGCTCTCCATCTTCAGGATGGACAGCTAATCTGGACAAATAATTTCAAATAGTTTAAGAAACAGTTTGACCTCCAACGCAATATAAATAAAGGTTAAAGGGACATCTTGGTGTGTATCTTTAGAGAATATAAATGGAGCTGTTTATTCCTTGTCTCTGGAGCCTGTGCAAGGTTCAAATTCAGTTTAAAAGCTTATCACCAAAATTCATTTTATAGAGTACCTTTAACTCCCACTCAGTCTGATCAAAGCTTTTCCGACATAAAGTGAATGAGCTACAATGGGTTCCCTTGTTCAGTCAGCCAAGTCAATGTTCTTAATCAGTATAAAAACATCAGGAGTCAAATGGTGGTTTTTATTAAAATGCGTTTGATCAGCTTCCAAGGAGGTGACAGAGGTCTATGGAAAGAAGCATTCCTGCCTGCTCCTAGAAAATGCATGCGAGCCCTGTAAAAGCACTGGGCTCTGAGAGAACCCTGTGGCTTGCTCATGGCTGACCTCATTATCCTGGGAGCTGGGCACAGCCTCTCACCCTTCACTCTAACCCTCCTCCAGCCTGACCTCTTTTGAGTTGCCTACTCCTGAAAACTCATTTATCTCAGCTCCTTCCACTGGATAATAATCAAGCCCTTGGGTTTTGCCAGGGATCAAAGAATGATTGCTCCAGTTGTCTCAAAATCTATTGCTTCTTTAGATGCTGTTGCTGCTTATTCAGACAAAGCAACATTATGCTGAAAGTCCACAGCAGCTGTGGGTTAGAGACGGGGCAGTTTAGGAAGTGATGTGTGGAGCACAGCATCCATCTGACTTTCTGGGCATTCAGTTGCTCAAGAGAGAGTGGATGTACACCCAAGAGCACCACACAGACATGGCAGGGCCCAAGAGCTGCTTGTTGGTAGCACTCCTATGAGTCTTTTCCAAACACAGGCCCGTAAGTGACAGCCTCAGCTCAGCTGTCATACCATATACACCCAGACATCCCTCACATATCAGAATAACTGTCTAGAGGCCAAGGTCCTCTTTTGAACTTAGTGAACATAAAGTTGATTCTTCCAGCAGTAGGGAAGAAGCTCCCTGAAGCCCACACCCCTACAGAGCACAGACAGGGTGAATTGCCACATCCTGGGCTGTCTGGTCACCACGAGCACACTGGGAAATCACTTATGTTGCCCAAGGCTTCACTGTGACTTGGGGCTGTCAAACAGCTGGATCTCACCACATTACAAAATGGAAGAATCAGGACAATACTGTCTTGCTCTCAGGTCCCTGATGGGCTCACAACTTCCCTAATGTTTCTCTGCTATAAATGACCTTATTTCAAACATCTCCATGCATCAATTGCCAGAAACCATTTACTACCAGGAATAGCTCAGACATGGATCTCTGCCTCAAATAGAGAAGATCAAGACACATTTATGACAGCAAAACTGTTATGAAATAGAATTATTCTCTGGAACAGCTCTAGACTTCAAATATTTAGGGCCATAAAATTAATGCTAACTAAATTCTGATCCATGCAATCAAGCAACAGCAACAAGGCAGAAGGGCCATTTTAAATCCATGTGCTGGGAAAAAGAAAACGACAAAACTAATGGAGATGTTCTGCATTCATGACGTCCTCTCCTCCCTCCAAAAGCCTGTCAACAGAAGTTGGCAATAAACAAATATAACTGAGATGTTTGAGGAGATAGCTCATCAAGATATATTCACACATTCTAGTCATCAACAAACACTTCAGCTGGGAAAACTAACCATATTCGGCAGGTGAAGCCTTTTTTGCCCGTGGGACTGTGCTTGAAACTAATAATTTGCAGTCATAAGTTCAGTTGGACACATCATTACCTCAAGAAGTTTAATCAGTGAAGACATAATCTCTGTTTAGGATTATTTGGACATATTTTTCACTCCCCAAGGAGCCATTAGGAGGCAGGAAGTATGTGTCCACACTGATTGGTGCAGGAATCTGACTGATAGGAAGGAACCTCCAACCAGGAGGTGGGAAAGGCATTTAACTGAAAATATTCATTTTCATTTATTTACATTTTGATAGCTTGTGCATATGCAGAGATTTGATAATTTTAAAGAACTTCAAATAAAGGACAGGAAAAGTAGCTGATTCATCTTATGGTCTCTTATGTATATTCTTCTCTGTGGTGACCAGTGACAGGACTGGAATGAATGGCCTGTGGAAGTTGCATCAGGGGAGATTTAGGTTGCATATTAGGGAAAAGTTCTTCACCCAGAGGGTGCTGGGCGCTGGAACAGGCTCCCTGGGGAAGTGAACACAGCACCAAGTAAGACAGAGTTCAGGAAGCATTTTGACAGCGCTCAGGCACATGTTGTGATTTTGGGGTGATCCTGTGCAGTGCCAGGAACTGGATTTCAGTGATCCTTGTAGGTCCATCCCTAATCAGGATATTCCATTTGATGGTCCTTGTGGGTCCCGTTCCCATTTCAAGATAGTCTATGATTGTATCATTATCAATTCAGGCAAGTAGAAAAACTTGCACAAACCCTGAACAACTGAGCTCTATTCCATTCACAAAATAAAAGCATGAAGAAGAGAGCAGCTGAAGTTGTCCATGGTTCCACACTTTTGAAAATACAAGCAGTTCCAATGGTTCCTAAATACCGGCTTGTGGTAAAAAATTTACATCCATCTGTTGAAATTTTTATCTGATGCCCTAGCAACATCATGTGAGTAATTCCTATCTTCAGGAGCTACATGGATCTTATATTTTTGTCCTGATTTAGCTATTTTTTTAATAAATGGAACACAGTCATAGTTGTTTTTGTTTTATTTTTTTTTTCCCCAAAGCAGACTGAGTTGGATTTGAGGAGATGAGCATGGGAGTACACAAACCTTAACAAACTCCCCCTAGGCTTCTGGATACCTGTTGATAGTCCATCCTTTTTCCAATCATGTCACACAGTGTCTGTAATAGTACACTAATGTAGTGTAAACACACTGTTTCAGTGCTGCAGTCACTGCTTTCTCTTACAAGAAGTATTCAATCTAAAGGAGAAGGTAAGTAAATTACTAGTTAAAGATATAGAAATGAAGCATTGTTTGCTCTCCTTTTTGCCTTGGTAGGTGTTCTCCAAGCTTACCATCCCCCTTGTGCATCCTCCTGTCTTATCACAACACAGTTACTGGTAATTCAGATATTCCCTCTGCAACCCTGACCACCTTACGCAAATCAGCAATCTCACAGCCCTGACCAGGTGTGACCACCCACCTTGGTACTCACAGAGCCCAAAGCCACCTTGGTGCTGCTGCACAGCTTCTTCCTGTTTACTAACAGAGGTGTTTGTGTGCTCAATTATAACTGCCATGCTACTGAATCACTGAAAGATACAGTATAGCAGTTGAGTGTGGAGATTTCTAGGAATAAGACATCTTTCATGTGCTGCTGAACTCTCTCTTTCTGAAATGCTTCTGGATTAGTGCTTTGAAGAACCCATTTTTAATTGTATTCACCAAGCTAGATGCATGCTGATTCTGGGTAATGAGATCTCTTCATTCAAATTCCTAAAAGTGTAAAACAAACTACATGTTCTTGCAGTTCTTTGTAATATAATCAGTTACATATCTGTGTACCTGCATTTTTTACCTGTAGTATGCAGTGACAGGAGATGGTTATTCAGAGTAGTTGCTGCATTCTCATTGAAGAATGCAGCTGACAACCTGGTTCAGTTCACATCAAGCATGCCAATAAGACTTACAGATGATAATTGCTGACATACTGTTAACTCTTAGTCACGATATTTACTGTGCTCTGTGTGAGCTAATAACAGGTTTGAACCCACATCTTTGATAATAATACAGGGTTTGTCATATATTTCAGAAGGAACAGGATGAGGAGGGTATCATACTTTGTTCATTATTGTTTCAGCCAAATGAGAAGAATCATGTAGGGCATGGACTGGAACAGTTCAGCGTAAAGCCTTCACCCTTCCCAACTCATCCTGGTGACCAGTTGTTGACATGATTAACTAGTGACCTAGATATTGTAGGATGACAAGAAATGCCCATGCTGCATGGGGAAATCTTTGTTTTAGTACAGCATTTCTTGCATCTCCTCTGGCAGCCAGTGTTCATTGTTGTCTGAAGCAGGATACCAGACTTAATCAGCTTGGCCTTGCATAGCAACCTCCATGTTCCCATAAACATGGGAAGGGCATTTCAGCTTCTCCCTACGAGACTGGATGCATTGTCTGTGAATACTCACCAGACTGCTGCTCCCTCCTTGCAGCCTCCACAAAAACTAATTCCATGCTTCCCATACATGCAGCACAGTGCTACAGTCTGTCTCCTTCTCCATGATCCCAGGCTTCCCAGCAGAGTTGACCAGGCACTCTTCAACTGGCAAAGGGAGTGGTCTGGAAAAGCAGAGTGGTGGAAATGTGAAAAGAAGTCAAGGAGGTGTAGGGGCTGTCTTATCCACCATGGAACCAGCTGCAGGATGGCTGTTTATCGGTGCTCTGTCACCTGCAAGGCTCAGTGTGGTGTCCCTCCCATCCTGCATGAAGAATGACTTCTTTAATGCATCAGAGCCAAATAAACTTTGTGTGCCTGTATTTAACATGAACAAAGAGTGACAGTGTCACTTTTGATTGCAGGCTGAAATACAGCTGTTTTCACTAAAGCCCAAATAATTATGTAAGGAGTGAGAGTTACAAGACCTCTGATGAAAAAAGGAAATGGAGGCACAGTCTGAGAATATAAGGCTCAGATCCTAAGAACAGGATGGGGTTGTGCTTATGCAAGTAGGTAGGT